GGGCAGACACATTCCGGTTAGGATAAAGATAACCACTTTGTTTTCTGATCATTTGTCAATATTTTATGCTTTAAACAGGTTTTTGAGTTGGTTGACAAATAATGCCTCTTCTGGCCTACTCATAGCTCTTAAGAATGTGACAGTATATGAGTAATGGTGTGCCTGTGGCTGCATAGTGTAGCATTCCTTCATCTTCTTGCACAGACTGTGATCAGATGTCAGTAAACATATTGAATCACTAGACCGCATACTTCATTTGTGCCCTGAATTCTTGTCACCAAGACAAAATGCCTGCTTTTATGTGTTTCCAGCTCTGCAAAGTAACACTTTTGGATGAAGTCCCTTACATTTGTACATTAACTGTTGTCTTGCACAATTCATCAGCATTATTTTTCTTATTGTTTATAAACCAGTATGACTTTTTAAGTGCAGTATGAAAAATATATGTATACTGCAATGCTAGAGATTAAAATTTTCTTTTGTTTCTTCTTCTTCTTCTCCATATATCATATAAATGCATTATATTTTATATCAAAATCTTGGCGCCACCTATATTATATATCCCCATATAATTTTATTAAAAATAGAATTATCACAGAAAACCATGCTTCTGAGACTTTTCCTTTTTATATTTGTTCAAGGTGTTCTACCGTGTGCCTAAAAATGGCGTTTCAATGTTTGTACTCTTAATTTCTACAAAATTATTTACCTAAATTGTATTTATCCTGTAAGTAAGCTTTCAAAATCCAGCTAATAAATACTGTGCCATTCACAGTGCTAATCACAATCATATTACTGTTCATTGATTAGCAGGGCAAGATTACAATTTGAATCATCACACAAATGAACATAGAGCATAACACAGGCTGCTAAATTACCTTGTAGACATCTGTTTAAGCTGGCCATACACATATATAGTTTGATAATCTTTGTTCGTCCTGCAGGATTGAATGAAAAAAAAACCCAAACAAACAGATTCCTCCATCCAGTATACAACAAGGATGGATTAATCTTCCACTGTGGTTATCATATTGTGACAACCAGTTACGGCATATACCCGTATATACTCGAGTATAAGCCGAGTTTTTCAGCACATTTTTTTGTGCTGAAAAACGGCCCCCACTCGGCTTATACTTGAGTCAACGTCTGCAGGGGGGGGGCGCGAGGCTCCGTCAAGGGGGGGCGCCGTACAGGGGTGGGCAGAGGGCTGCTGTCACTTACCTGGCTCTCACGATGATCCATCCAGGTAGCGCTGCTCCTTCCGTCACTCCGGCCACTCCCTCACTCCTGCCGCTCGGCTCCGCCTCCTCACCGGTGATTGGCTGCCAGAACTGTAGCTCAGGAAAGGTACACAGGCGGCCAATCACGGGCGAGGAGGCGGAGCCGAGCGGACCCGCGAAAATCGAGTGAGGGAGAGGCCGGAGTGAAGGACAGCTGACAGGTAAGTGTGCAGTGCAGAGGTGCTGCTGCAACCACATATGCTGGCTGCAGCAGCACCATACTGCAACAGGGGTAAGCAAGTGTCATTGGTGTCAGTGGGAGGAATAGTGCCGCATCATTGGTGTCACTGTGATACTAATGATGGGGCATTATTCCTCCCACTGACACCAATGATGGGGCACTATTTCTCCCAGTGATACCAATGATGGGGCACTATTCCTCCACTGACACCAATGATGGGGCACTATTCCTCCCACTGACACCAATGATGGGGCACTATTCCTCCCACTGACACCAATGATGGGGCACTATTCCTCCCACTGACACCAATGATGGGGCACTATTCCTCCCACTGACACCAATGATGGGGCACTATTCCTCCCACTGACACCAATGATGGGGCACTATTCCTCCCACTGACACCAATGATGGGGCACTATTCCCCCCACTGACACCAATGATGGGGCACTATTCCTCCCACTGACACCAATGATGGGGCGCTATTCCTCCCACTGACACCAATGATGGGGCGCTATTCCTCCCACTGACACCAATGATGGGGCGCTATTCCTCCCACTGACACCAATGATGGGGCGCTATTCCTCCCACTGACACCAATGATGGGGCGCTATTCCTCCCACTGATACCAATGATGGGGCACTGTTCCTCCCACTGACTGATGGGGCAGTATTCCTCCCACTGACACCAATGATGGGGCACTATTCCTCCCACTGATACCAATGATTCCCACCCTCGGCTTATACTCGAGTCAATAGTTTTTTCCCAGTTTTTTGTGGTAAAATTAGGTACCTCGGCTTATATTCGGGTCGGCTTATACTCGAGTATATACGGTATATGAAAAGGGAATTTGAAGGTGGCGGAGGGCAAGAAAAGGTCTTTAGCCACTTGACATCAAATCACGTACATGTACATTATTGGCTTCCAGTGGTTATACCGGAGTTATGGCTGAAGCTTTATGCTGTATTTTTTTTTTTTTTCAGCTGGCAATGCTGCTTTATCTGATTAGCCACTGGATTGCTTTTACAGGCATGCCCCCCCCGCTGTCCACTAGCGGTTCTCTGGGTTTTCCCGTACGATCGGGGAACCCAGTATCCAAATCGGCAGTGCTGCACAATCAACACAATCTTTTATATTTTACCAAAAAATTAGGTCATATTTTGTGTTGTCATTAAAGATTATTTTTTTTCCCCCAAAAAATAGCAATTTTTCTTTTATGTCACACAGTATTTCCCAGAGGTTTTTCAAATGCCACAACCACCTTTTTTATTCTATAGGGCCCCTGCAAAAAAAAAAAAAGTTTGTACATATGTGTGTGTGTGTGTGTGTGTATGTATGTGTGTGTATATGTGTGTATGTATGTATATATATATGTGTGTGTGTGTGTGTGTGTGTGTGTGTGTGTGTATGTATGTATGTATATATATGTATGTTGTGTGTGTGTGTGTGTGTGTGTGTGTGTGTGTGTGTGTGTGTATAAAAACTTTTTATATATATATTATAATGTTTTTGGAGATTTAAGAAATGTTCTTTCTATCAAAAAAGGAAGAGTTTTACTTGTAAAAAAAAAAAAAAGTCAGAATAGGCTTGGTCTTCAAGTGGTTAATATTAAGAATGCATACTTGGATAGATTTTTTTTTTTTCCTTTTTGAACCATAGATTGTCACTTTAAGATATTAAAGAATATGTTTACCCAACATTTCATATTCCTGATAGATGCCTACTGTATCATGTATCAGAAGGGCACATCTGTCAGGTGGAAGCATTTGAGTGTCACCACTGCCACCTGATTGCTTCCACACAGCCCACTGTGTTGCCAGCCTCTGCCCGCTCTCAGTGGCTGCCGGAATGTCTAGGGGAGGGAGGAGAGCGGACACACCCACTCCACTTCTTGTCCTGACGCGGAAGTGATGTGAAATCTCTGGGTCTGGGTCCCCACTGACAGATTCCCGGCCATGGAGTCTTTGAAAGAATGTAATGCGGTGTAATGTGCACTTCATTACATTCAGTGGTGTACAGGGGAGACATGCAGGGTCTTTTAGACCCTGGATGTCTCAAAAAAGAAAACTGGTCACCAAAAATAATCACATAGGAGACTATGTGATTAAAAAAAATAATTTTTTTTGGTTTATTTCTAAATGTTACACCTAGCGTATAAACCCCAAAATGTTTCAAGGCCCACCCCCACATATTTACGCACGTAGAAACATAAAAGCGCTGGGGCGCTTGCGCATGAAAACGACGATTGCAATACACATGTTGCATATCGCCGGGCACACCAGGATGAGAGCAGTAATTCTTGCACCAGACCTCCTCCATAACACTATACTGATGTCCTATAAAGGGGCCATTTCACGAGCACACGTGAATTTAAGGTTTCACATGATGGATATCTATTTACTTGATGCAACCTCATCTTTTATATTTTAACAAAAAATGGAGTGTATTTTTTTACTGAAATTTTGCATTTCTTAGACCTTTGTGATAATATCGTGTGACATGAAAAATTGTAACTACCAATATTTTATTCTCTAGGGTCTCTGCTTTCAGAAAATATATAATGTTTGGGGTTTTCTGTAATCTTCAGGCCTAAAATGATTTTTTAAATTTGTGCAAAAACAGCTCTGGCAGCGAAAAGGATAAGCTCGACGCTCCCCTTTACTGACAAGCACGCAATCGGTGCTCATTACACTGCAAGGTCACTCTCCTCCCTGCTAGTCCCCTGTACTGTACTGGTGCTGTACTGGAGACAGGCAGGGAGAGGGAGGAGGAGATAAACAGCGCAGTGTTAAAATGTTTAAGTCGCCCTAAAGCCCCTTTTGTTTTTAAAAGCCCCAGACATTATTTAAAAGCAGATTTAAATACAGTTTTGGTTAAACTGTGTGTGTGTGTATGTGTATGTGTGTGTGTGTGTGTGTGTGTGTGTGTGTATATATTATATATATATATATATGATTGGGACACGGTTTTTTTTAGTCTCTGGACAAGTAGTTTTTTCAAAAATTTCCACACCCCTGTACTTTTATGAAAAAGTATCCTGTTCTCTTTGAATCGCTTCCTTTGTGTGAAATCCCTGGGGTTCCTGCCAGTCCTTTCTGCTTTCCTATTAAAAACTGTCCACACTAGGAGCCTGCTTTCCTCCAATGATTAGACTTGTGCTGACACACCTCCCCCTGCACAGCCATTCACTGGAAAGACCAGTGGTCTGTTCTTTCTCCTCCCTTAGCTCTGTGCTCTTTATGCAGCTGGAAACAGAGGGTATGTGATCACTTATAAAAAAAAATTATTAATACTTTTTTCCCTTTTTTTATCTATACACAAATGTTTTGCCTTTCATTCAGAAAATGTTTAGTGAGTCACTTAAATTACATATTTGTAAGTTTGCTTGTAAATCTCAAATACAGGATATGTATTCTACCTTCATTTATTTGCGATTTTTTTTTTTCCTTTTTTCTTTTGGAGTTGTTTTAAAAGTGTATTTTTACCTGGCACCTTTGTTTTTATCCATTCATTTGTTTCAGCCTGACTAGCCTTCACATTAC